CCTTAGCAGTCCTGCACTTCTTTATTCTATTGAAATATCTTTCATCAATAGCTTTGTAGAGAATGTCCTTGGCAATGTTGTCAAGGTTGTACTGTCTTTTCTCTTCCTTGGTCCACTCAGACCTGGTCTTCTCAATCATCTGAGGCAGATTGTTGTCTAAGGTATGGGCAGGGTTGACCTTCATGAATTGGATAAAAGGTCCATTCTCCAAGACTTCCCACATTTCATCATGCAGGGCACAGAGATGAGCTTTCATCCGAATCTTCCAGTCATCATATTTCTGATCTGTGAACATTAGGTGCTTGGCAAGAGAGTTATCCATAATAACAAATAAATAGAGGCTAAGAACAAGTGGATCTTTTGTTCAGAGAGTAACCTAAAAGATTACAAGAACAACCTGGCTCTGATACCACTTGTTGGTCCCGTTTGAGTTGGTAATCAGTCTAGAGGGGGGGGGGGGGGGGGGTGAATAGACTGATTGGAGTTTTTCAACTTTTCTCTAAGTCAGAGTTGACTTGTCAGAGATGGTCGAGTTCTGATGATCAGAACTGGTCTTGCAGCGGATAAGAGTTCCGGGTAGCCTCAGAAATGCTAAGGCAAATGCCTTTCTGATAACTCTGAAGACAAGATCTGCTGAACACAGATTCCAAGTCTTAGAGTTAAACAGTTAATGTTCTAAGTGCAGAAATATAAATTGCAGTAAAGTAAATGACACCGGATATTTTTATAGTGGTTCAAGGAACAACGCGTTCCTCTAGTCCACTGTTCCACTAGCTTTGAAGTAGATCGGTTACAAAGCTAATCCCTAGCACTTAAGAAGCACTCCTCGTCTTCTTCAAGTCTAGATGCCACCCAGGATGCAATTCCACGTCCTGATGGCTGGTCCTTTCACTCAGCTTCCCGGAAGTATCACCACTTCACTACTGCAGTTACTTGGACGCCCTTCTTTTCAGAAGATCCTTTGAAATACAAAGTTTTTCCTCCAACTTGCTTCGTCACAAATGATGTTTGATGAAGTTCTTGAAGAGTTGAAGAACAGGATGAACTTTGCTCTTGTTGGGGGTGACAGATTGTGAGGTTGTATCTTCCCAACGTAAGCTTTTTCTTGTATTTGTGTGGTGGAGTTTGAATCTCAAGAATGCTTGTAGTATGAAGTTCAGAGCAAAAGTTCGTTGAAGTGTTCTGCGAAGAGTGTTGTAGTCCTGTTCTTCGGTTTGTAGCTTATATACTGGGGTTGTCTGCCCGTTGGAGGAGGAGACAACTGCATTAAATGCGCGTACTGTGGATTTGACCAGTTGGACCCGCAGTTTTGGCAGGTTTCCATTTTTGTATAATATTCTCCAGGATTCTCGGTCAATCATCTGCAATTACTCCACAGCGTATCAGGCTCATTAAATGAGCATTGAATGCTTTCCTTGGATGAAATATCTCCTAGCCGTTAAAGGATTTCCCGGCCGTTGAAGACAGCTTCAAAATCTTCCAAGTGTAAAACGGAGTCTGATGAGCTTCTCTGATGACATTCTGATCTTGGGTTCTGATGGACTTATAAGAGGAACTCTGATACTTCTCTGGAGTTGGATTCTGATGAAGCTTTTTCATCGAACTCTGATGTCTTTCTGATGTAGACTTCTGACGAGTCTCTGAAGAGCAACACTGATGGTTCTCTGATGAGCAACTCTCATGATTTCCGAGAGCCACTCTGAAAGCAGTTCTCATATAGCAGCTCTGATCAGATCCACATAGCAACTCTGATAGTCGATTATACTAGTACATACAACTGAAAATTCTAATACATAAAATCTAAGTAGGGGTACTCTCAAATTCTAATCTAATTATCCTAGCATCATCAAAATCTAATTACATTTATTCCTTACAGTATCTCAATTGAGCGATAACTTAAATTGTTTCGTTCAATTTACAAGTAATTTATGTGTTATACAGGACCGTCACTCGAAGAGGCTGATTGGAATGGGTGAACGGGTGAATGGACTGTACTACTTGCGCGAGGAAGTAGCAGCACATGTGTTGGCAGTTAAAGATTCAAAGAATAATGTGGCAGAATTATGGCATCAACGGATGGGACATCCCGCTTCCCATGTTGTTGAAAAATTGGCTCCCGTAAGTGGACTGAAAAATTTTGGAAACTTTCCCTGTGATATTTGTTTTAGAGCTAAGCAGACAAGAGACTCATTTTCTTCTAGTTTAAATAAAACTCATGTCATTTTTGAGATGATACACTGTGATCTGTGGGGTCCATATAATACCCCTTCTTCTTGTGGTGCTAGATATTTTTTGACTATTGATGATGATTATTCACGTGCTGTGTGGGTTTATCTGCTTATTGATAAAAGGGAAGTTTTCAAAATGTTTCTCTCATTTGTTGCTATGGTGGAACGTCAGTTTTCTAAGAAAATTATGCGTGTGCGAAGTGATAATGGGACCGAGTTCAATTGTTTGCAAGATTTTTTTCGCACTAATGGCATTATATTTCAAACTTCTTGTGTTGGAACTCCTCAGCAGAATGGGCGTGTAGAACGAAAGCACAGACACATTTTAAATGTAGCCCGTGCGTTGAGGTTTCAGGGAAATTTACCTATCTCTTTTTGGGGAGAATGCGTATTGACTGCTTCTTTCCTCATAAATCGGACACCATCTGCTATTCATGACTATAAAACACCATACGAGTTATTATTTGGGGAACCTCCGTGTTATAATTCTCTTCGGGTCTTTGGGTGTTTGTGCTATGCTTTTAATATGAAGGCCAAGGGAGACAAATTTGTAAGTCGTAGCAGAAAATGTGTATTTGTGGGATATGTTTTCGGGAAGAAAGGATGGAAAGTTTTTTATCTAAAGACCCGGGAATATTTTGTGTCTCGGGATGTAAAATTTTTTGAGCATATTTTTCCGTTTGCCCCGACGCCATCTCTCCCGGAAAATCCACCGAGTGCATCTTTGCCGCCTGCTATTCTACCCACGGATTATGATGATTATTTTCTTCTCGGCCGATCGGATGAACATCACGTGCGAATACCCTCAACCCAGGAGGATTCCACGACACAAGTCGGTCAGGAACAATCGGGCGAGATTTTTACAGCTTCAGGGAACTCGGATACATCGGAGGAGGTGCACATTTCATCTCAGGAGGAGCCGGAACAAACTTTGGGACGTGGACAACAAACTCGTATTCCTTCAGTTCGCCTAAAAGATTTTGTCACGCACACAATCATAAAAAACAGTCCATTCCCCGCTTCCTCCGCTCCGTCGTCCTCTTCAGGTACGCCGCTTCCTATAACTCATTATGTTACTTGTGACTCTTTTTCTTCCAAACATAGAGCTTACCTGGCAGCAATTAATTCGGTTACGGAGTCCAGTTCTTTTCATGAGGCGGTTAAACATGAAGGATGGCGTCAAGCCATGAGAGCCGAGATACAGGCTCTTGAAACTAATTCCACTTGGAGTCTTGTCCCTTTGCCTCCAGGGAAACGTGCTTTGGGATGTCGATGGGTTTATAAAGTTAAACACAAGTCTGATGGCACCATTGAACGTCTCAAAGCTCGTCTCGTTATATTTGGGAACCAACAGGTCGCAGGTTTAGATTATACTGAGACTTTTGCTCCAGTCGCTAAAATGGTGACTGTCCGAGCATTTCTTGCTGTTGCTGCTATTAAACATTGGGAGTTACATCAAATGGATGTACATAATGCCTTTTTGCATGGTGATTTACATGAGGAAGTCTACATGACTATTCCTCCAGGTTATAAAACAAATACTCCTACTTTGGTTTGTCGATTTCATAAATCTCTATATGGACTCAAGCAAGCTCCAAGATGTTGGTTTGCAAAATTAGTTGCCGCTCTCAAAACATACGGATTTCTTCAATCATATGCTGATTACTCCTTATTCACCTTTACTCGCGGAACTACTCAGATTAATGTCCTGGTTTATGTGGATGATTTACTCATCTCCGGTAATGATAGTGCCGTTATTTGTGCATTTAAATCTTATCTTAATGCTTGTTTTCATATGAAAGATTTGGGCACTCTTAAATATTTTCTGGGAATTGAGGTAGCGCGCAGTTCTACAGGCATCTTTCTGAACCAGCACAAATATGCCCTGGACATTATTACCGAGACAGGTCTTCTGGGTGCAAAACCCGTGTCTTTTCCTATTGAGCAAAATCACACTCTTGCCACCGCTGCTGGTCCCGCTCTTCAAGATCCTGAACCATATCGCAGGCTTGTTGGACGATTAATTTACTTGGCGGTTACTCGCCCGGACATCACTTATTCAGTACACATTCTCTCTCAGTTTATGCAAAAACCACTCACTGAGCATTGGTCTGCTGCACTGCGTGTGGTTAGGTATCTCAAAGGCTCTCCAGGACAGGGAATTCTTTTACGAGCTGATAGTGATTTATCTCTTACTGGTTGGTGTGATTCAGACTGGGCCGCCTGCCCTATTACCCGACGATCTCTTTCGGGGTGGTTGGTTTTTCTTGGTCATTCACCTATTTTCTGGAAAGCAAAGAAACAAACCACGGTTGCTCGCTCCTCAGCTGAAGCTGAATATCGTTCTATGGCTGCAGCAACTTGTGAATTAAAATGGCTAAAGGCCCTTCTTTTAAGTCTTGGGATTCAGCATTCTCAGGCTATACCGTTATATTGTGACAGTCAGTCTGCACTTCATATTGCTCAAAATCCTGTCTTCCATGATCGCACCAAACATATTGAGGTTGACTGTCACTTTGTTCGTGATGCTATTCAGGCAAATCTTATTGCTCCCAATTATGTACCAACTACCATTCAATTGGCTGATATTTTCACTAAGGCTCTTGGGAAGACACAATTTCAGACTCTCCTGAGCAAGTTGGGCATTCTGAATCCCCATGCGCCAACTTGAGGGGGGTTATTGAAGATATTTTTGGGAATGATTTTTTATTTAAAGCTCGAATATTATCTCCTTTAATACTTGCCATATTTTAGCCTACTCTTTAGGAGGACCGATCCTCACCGATCCTTTTTGATCGGCAGAACTCTTGTATTTATTTGGCCGATTGGCCCTTTGTTGAAGTGAGAAGAAATTTACCCTACAATACTCTTTCTTATGCTTTACAAAGTCAAAGTTAATACATATGTAATGTTCCCGTTAGTGTAAGCATGTTTACATGGGTTACATGCTTTGCATGGCCCATGCACATGTCTCTCTCTCCCATCCTTCACACTCATGTAATATATATATGTGTACGCATGTGTGTGTCTGTGCGCCATACGTATGCTATGGAATAAGCAAGTGAGTTATTTTTCCTCACACTACGTATAAGGTTTCATACTTTGAATGGCTTTTCTCGTTTATATGTAATCTTTAATTTTAACATGGTATCACAGCCGAAATTCTGGATACAAAATCATGTTAATATGGCTAATATATTGCCACAAAATTATCCTTGGATAATTGATTCCGGAGCGAGTGAGCATATCGTTTGTAGTGACAACGGTCTGGTTGACATCATAACGCCCACTTCCATACCACATGTTCGTATCCCTAATGGCGAAACAGTTCCGGTCTCGGCAATTGGCAGCTTACATTTATCCAACGGGCTCCATCTACGACGAGTTTTATACATTCCAAAATTTCAGTGCAATTTACTTTCTGTCAGTCAATTAACAAGCGATTTTAATTGTACACTCACATTCTTTTCAGATTTTTGTATTTTACAGGACTTACCCTCGAGGAATCTGATTGGGCTTGGTAAATTCCGTGATGGTCTTTATTACCTCGAGGCTCCAAAGGTCGAAGGGGTGGCAATGTCAGTCTCTATTACTTCAGATATATGGCATCAACATTTGGGTCATGCATCAGATGGAAAATTACATCACATCAAGTCTCTCAAAGGGTTTAGTCGGAGTAACAACCTTTGTGATCCCTGCATACGAGCTAAGCAAACTAGACTATCTTTTCCTACCAGTACCATTAAGACATCTCGTAGTTTTGAGTTAATACACTGTGATATCTGGGGAGTTTATAGATGTGATTCTATTTCCGATGCACGATACTTCCTATCTATAGTTGATGACTTTACTAGAGGTGTATGGGTTTATTTAATGAAAAATAAATCTGAAGTTCCGCAACTTTTGATTCAATTTTGCAAAATGGTTGATACCCAATTTGAACAAAAGGTCAAACGCGCACGAGCTGATAATGGTGTGGAATTTAAAACCAACCATTTGTTGGATTACTATAGACAAAATGGGATATTATTTGAGACGTCCTGCACAGACACACCACAACAAAATGGAGTTGTAGAACGTAAGCATAGACACATATTGGAAATAGCTGGAGCTCTTCGTTTCCAATCTGGCTTGCCTATTGATTTTTGGGGAGAGTGTATTTTAACTGCCGTGTATATTATTAATCGACTCCCATCACCACTCATCTCAAATAAAAGTCCATATGAAGTATTATTTGGGAAGGCACCTAGTTACGATCACTTACGAGTTTTCGGGTGTTTAGTATATGCACACAACAATATAAGCAAAAGGACAAATTTGGTGAAAGGGGGAGTCCTTAGCTTGTATATTTATTGGGTATCCATACGGGCAAAAGGCTTATCGGGTCTTTGATTTACAAAAACACTCGGTGTATAATTCCCGTGACGTAACATTTTTTGAAGAAAATTTTCCATTCAAAAATGTTGACAATAATGGAGGCCATGATTTCGGAACTATAGTTGATCAAGTTTATCATAGATTGTTTCTCCCCAGCTCCACAACTTTTCAGCCTGGCCCACCATCAAATGGATCAACTTTTCATCCACACAAACAAACATTTTTCTCCCAAAATAACCGTGACCTTACAGCAAGTCAGGGCAGCCACAATTATCATGGCAAGCGGGCAGAAACAATGAATTTGGAGGGTGAGTATGGTTGATTGTCACATGGGGTTGACAGTAAGAACATGGGGTTGACAGTAAGAAGAATTGTAGAGGAGCTAGCAGCCAAGAAATGTCCAGGGAACCAAATGCTGCACTGCATGAGGATGATAGAGTGGAGCATCCATCACATGAGAGTGTTTCTCCTGGACAACCCGACATGGACAAGTTGGCCCCACCAATTCCAAATGGGCAGCCTCTCCTCTCCACTAAAGGGCTAGGAACTGGATAGCTCAACACGGACAACGTACCTGGCTTGGACAAAATTACTCATCCAGCTAAAGAAACGGAAGGGCCCACAAGTCAAACTATGCATGTAACACCCGCTACCCGGCCCGGAAGGCTAGGGCAGGGAGTGCTACCCGCAGTGCCGAAGCACCAAAGCGTTAACAGATTAACTATTTTCTTAAAATATTTTTGGCCGAACTTAAATGATATTAATAATAGATTTTATCAAAGTCCAAAAAAAATAGCGGAAGCATAAATATATTACACAAGTAGTTCTGGATTTTGGAATAACCAAATACATCCATGAAAATTGAACATTTTTTTTTTTTAAAATAAAAGCAAACATAAGAAATTCATTGGACTGAATGGTTAGGCAGAGATACATGCGAACACAACCAGCCTAGAACAATCATACTAGTAGAAGAAACCAAGAACTTTTCCACCGGCGTTCTTTCTTCTGGCTTCCTCGTGATCCATGATTCCAGCTGATGTAGTCAGCACTATGTATCCAAACTGTCTTGATGGAAGTAACCTAGCAGTCCAACTCTCAATATCCTTAACACCAACATCGAAACGAGGACTAATCACGCCACACTTGAAAATTGAACATTCTCATGTGTATTTATTGCACAACTAATATGCTAAATGAGTACTAATTATGCAACTAGAGATGGATTATTACTAATATGTGGATGTGACTCTATAATTGGCTGCTGCTCCCAAATGCATCCCGGATCCGCCTCGTAGCGCTTATTGACCTACGCGAAGGACAAAAATCCAACGCGCTAAGCAAATCTTGCTTAGTGGTGTTCATTCTTTCTCAATATAAAATTATCACAAATAATAATCAACATAAATTGTAATATTACCAAAATAGCTCATAAAAACCGTGCTTTAAAAATATCACTCTTCATAGCTATTGTAGCTTGTAGATATGTCATACACGTAGTAATTAATATCACCATTTTGTTCAAAGTCACTATTTCCAAATATTTCTAATATTGTATCACAAATTAAATTATACTCCACGCTCTTAACGTTTTTCATTCACTTTCAATGCATCCTTCCATTTTTCTCAGTTTGTATTTCCAAAACGAATTTCTATACATTTCTTATTTTGGAATTTTACTCCTTAGTTTTGTGGACTGGATAAACGGGACGTTCTCATCTTTGGTACTGTCCACTTGGTGGCTACGGACCATCAGAGAACTATTTGGGCACTGACCACTCGGTGGCTCTGGCCGGAGCTCGTTTGGGTACTGTCCACTCGGTGGCTACGGACCCGTAAACGAACATATTTGGGTACTGTCCACTCGGTGGCTACGGACCCGTATAGAAGCGCGCGTGTGTCAAATATCAAGATTTGGGTGCTGTCCACTCGGTGGCTACGGACCCGAAATCATTGATCAAATTCTACGGCCGTGTTAATTATCCCTATTGGCATGCCAATCTATCCAATCCAAAAACAAGGTTTCAAGTTCTGTATTTATTTATTAACCATTGTTTAATTCAGTACTTTAACTTCTACGGATATGATAATTACTATTTTAACACATCTTAAATAACTTTATACATAAAATATTCTGGAAATGAGTATTGTCAATACACATTCGAATTGCAGTAGCTGTCTTTAAAACTTGAACTTTTACATACTCCACATTTTGAATTATAGCTTAATTATTCTAAACAATTAGCTAATTAACGACCCAGATTTAGTAATTTATAATCTCACAATCATACAACTTAAAATTTAACATACGTAGTACTAAATACTACTATACTATACTTTTTAAACTTTTGAATTTTATTATAAAATTACGTTATCTCTAAATAATTATAATTTAATTAACTCCTTTAAAATATATTGGTAGATGTGGATCCAACTATAAAGTGTAAACACTCTCAGAAATCAGTAATTAGAAATCAGTAAGTTTGAAATTCTTTATTGACTTTAATTAATAGTATATATATGTGTATACAAATATATACCTTGCAAATCAATATGTAATAATTTCCGAAAATGTCATTTCAAAATAGTTGGTGTTAAAACATACGAAGTATAAATAACTAGTCGCATAATGATGGGAAATAATTCCACTATGTGTACGTATATATATGCTTTTCAAAAATAATTACGTATCATAAAACCATTTTTCCTGTTAAATATAAAAATTACGAACTTTGGACTATGGACTCATAAAATATCTTCCAGGTTTTAAAGATCAATTCTATCTTATTAGCTAGAGTGTATATGCTCTTCAAAAATTTACTTTCCCTTATTATATACGTATTATATAAGAAATCATCTATTTTCGATTTTCATCTAATTACTAGTAAAGTATTCATAGTGAAATTCAATATTTTTATATTAGCTTGTTTCTCTCCTCTAGCCTCTGCTTTGTTTTTCTAATGTAAAACAAACTCTTAACTTGATATAAAGTGCATTAAAAACAAAGCTAAGAACCCATGCAGTAACATTTCTCTTAAAAAAATATTGACTTGCTTCTGAACTCTCTAATGGAACATACTCATTTACCCTCCAGGCCATTTCTTAAAAACACTCTCTTGTAAGTTTAACAAGAGTGGTAGTAATATTTCCTACGAAGTACTAGTATATGTTAACAATAATAGCGTTATCTTTTCTCAAAGAATTAATATATCTCAGCATGTAAATTAAATAAGAAACACTTTAATTACACATTATAATAAAGTATAACAGTATGATTACTACGTAGAGCAATAAAAATGTCTAAAATAAGGAATGTAAACTTTTATCATAATAGGAGGAGGAATGAACACAGACCTCAAAATTTAAGGCAAGATATTTACTTCTTATTTCCTCCTATTCTTCAACCCTCCTCCTTTCTCCTAGCTTCTCCTCCCTTAGCATCATAACTCACGGCCCTCTAGTTTCTTTCTATCCTTAACTCACAGCCCTCTAGTTTTTTTTCTTTCCTTAGTCATCTTTATTCGTAGTTTTTCTTAGCTTTTAGATTAAGTTTGAAAGGTAAAATGTCTACTAGCACCCCTTAATACTAAGAGTTGTTATCGAATACGCTATCCTCCATTTTGTTCTCTTCTAGCTCGTGATACGAGTATGGGTGCTGTACTACTGCTAGCTATTGCATACAATATTTGATTAGTGTCCCAATTAATTTGTTTTTCTTCTCATTTGACCGCCCAAGTGTACATCATGCTGCATAGATTCGTTGAAATTTTAATATTGATGACCGTATGTATTTTTGTTCCCTTGTAGCTTAGAGAAGAGTGCTTGGCCATGTGTAATCATATCTATATATGTGCAGCATGCATTTCATACCATATCTCAAAATATAGCCACGTGTCCAAATGTTTATATGTATGTATGACACTAGCTATGTGACTAGAGGGCAAAATAATCTACTTCTTTTATGTATATGGATTAAATTTCGTTTTACCTTATAATCGTATTTACTATTTAGTACTCCCTCCGTAACTTAAAAATCTTCCCACTTTCCTTTTTCGTCCGTAACAAAAAAATCTTCTCATTTCTAAATCTTCCCATCATACCCTCAATAATTTCTAAAATAATACACTATTACAACTACTTTTTTTGGATTTATCCTACATTCCACCACATTATTCCACAATTTTCCCATCATACCCTCAATAATTCATATCATCTTTCACTATTCTTAATCTACCTACTTTTGAAATGGGAAGATTTCAAAGTTACGGAGGGAGTATTAGTTATTATTATCGTTTAAAATTATAATATATGGAATTTAATTTTATCTATTTACTTTTATCTTTGAAATTTTAATATGTGCGGAATTGAGGTTGTTACAATGCCGCACTCTCCAACTGCCAGTAATGAATTTTCTACGGTAAGAGATGAAGCAAAAAGAGGAGAACGAATTCGAAAGTGTCCAAAGCACCTCACAGATTATGAGATTGACTTGCCCCCTTCGCTGGACCATTCACGGATTGCCAACCATTCAGCCAACTCGACGGTATATCCTATTTCTCATTTCATTAATTATGATAAATTTGCCCCGTCTCACAGAGCCTATTTAGCGACCATCACCTCACATGATGAACCCAAACATTTCTCACATGCTATACAGGATCCTCTCTGGAGAGAAGCTATGCAAAAGGAAGTCACAGCCTTATACTACAAAAAAAACACGGGATTGGCAGGGATTATGGCACGGATTTGGCACGGATTTTGGAAGGGATATGCCAAATCCGTGCCAAAAACACTTTGGCACGAGCTATTTGGCACGAAAAATTGATAAGTCCGTGCCAAATTTCGTGCCAATCCCGTCTTTTTTTTGTAGTATAACACTTGGACTCTAGTAAAATTACCACCCGGGAAAAGGGTTGTGGACTCCAAATGGATTTATAAAATTAAATATACACCCAATGGCGACTTGGAGCGATACAAAGCTAGACTAGTAGCAAAGGGGTTTACTCAAATTGAGAGAGTTGATTTTCATGAAACTTTTGCGCCAGTTGCCAAACTTGTTACTGTACGGTGCATGTTAGCTGTTGTAGCCAAACGCAATTGGATCGTACACCAACTAGATGTAAATAATGCTTTTCTACACGGTGATTTATCTGAGGATGTTTATATGCGTATTCCTCAGGGATTCAGTAAAAATGGTGATACCCGTGTTTGCAAATTACAAAAATCTCTATACGGATTGTGCCAAGCCTCCCGCAATTGGTATCAAAAATTTACTGAAGCCCTCACAGGAATAGGTTTTCATCAGTCAAGGGCCGATCACTCACTATTCATTTTTCGACAGGGCGCCATTGACACTTTCGCTCTTATCTACGTTGATGATGTCCTACTAGCTGGAAATGATACCTCTCATATTTCCACTGTGAAAGAATACTTGGACAAAAATTTTAGCATCAAGGATTTGGGAAAGTTAAAATATTTCCTTGGCATTGAAGTTGCTCGTTCTCCAGAGAGTTTTGTTTTAAGTCAAAGAAAGTATACTCTTGACATCTTGGAGGAAAGTGGATTCCTAGCCAGCCGACCTAGCTCTTTTCCCATGGAACAAAATCTGAAACTTCGCCCAGACGATGGTAGCACACCAGTAAATGCCCCTTCATATCGCCGTCTTATTGGGCGCTTATTGTATCTTACAATAACTCGTCCAGATATTGTGTACTCTGTCAGTCAGCTCAGTCAATTTTTAAGTAATCCACTCCAAACTCATCTTGATGCAGCCATACGTGTCCTCCGTTACTTAAAGCAAACACCTGGCCAGAGAATATTCATATCATCTGATACTGACCTCACCTTGAAGGGATTTTGTGATGCGGACTGGGCAGGGTGTTCCTTCACTCGACGTTCTAGCACTGGATTTTTTATCACTCTTGGTAATTCACCCATATCTTGGCGAACAAAGAAACAATCTGTAGTCTCTCGTTCTTCCGCTGAAGCAGAATATCGCGCCATGGCCGTCACAGTTAGTGAAATAATATGGCTACGGTGGTTACTACGAGATTTTACAATTATTCTAAAAGGACCTACGCCCCTTTACTGTGACAATCAAGCGGCACGTCAAATTGCACTCAACCCAGTTTTTCATGAGCGTACAAAACATGTTGAGATGGACTGCTATTTTGTACGAGAGAGAGTTGCTAGTAGTGAAATTCAGCCAGTTTCAATATCCACAAATCATCAAGTGGCTGACATATTCATCAAAGCTCTTGGTACACATCGATTTCAGTTTCTTCGAAGCAAGTTGGGTGTTCGCAATCTTCACACTCCACCTTGAGAGGGAGTGTTGAAATATTTACGTAATTATTATTTTGAATTATTTCATATGTAATGTTCCTGTTAGTGTAAGCATGTTTACATGGGTTACATGCTTTGCATGGCCCATGCACATGTCTCTCTCTCCCATCCTTCACACTCATGTAATATATATATACATATATATATATATATATATATATATACACACACACACACACAAAAGATCAGGTCCCTCCGGAGGGACGGGAGGGACCGTCCGGCCAAGGCCATCAAAGGCCCTTCCCGGTGGAATTTTTTGATGAAATTTTTTGAGCATGTTCCTCATCAAGTCTAGTTTATCCTTACCAAATTTCAGCTAAAAATTCAACCGGGAAGGCACTCAAATGATTTTTGGAAGATAACTGCGTTTTATATGTATATAAACTGCGCAGTTAACTTCCAAAAATCATTTGACTGCCTTCCCGATTGAATTTTTAGATGAAATTTGGTATGGATAAACTAGACTTCATGAAGAACATGCTCAAAAAATTTCAGCAAAAAATTCCACCGGGAAGGGCCCCAAATGGCGACGGCCGGATGGCGGGTCCTGTCCCTCCGGCTGGACAGGATCAGCCCTCTATATATATATATATATATATATATATATATATATATATATATATATATAGAAAAGATCAGGTCCCTCCGGAGGGACGGGAGGGACCGTCCGAACTTTACTGTTTGGGGCGGTTCCCGGTGGAATTTTTTTATCAAAGTTTTTGAACATGTTCCTCATCAAGTCTAGTTTGTCCATACCAAATTTCAGCTCAAAATTCGACTGGGAAGGCAGTCAAATAAATTCTTGAAGCTTACTGCACATTCTGCGCATATATAAAGTGCAGTAAGTTTCAAGAATTTATTTGACTGCCTTCCCGGTCGAATTTTGAGCTGAAATTTGGTATGGACAAACTAGACTTGATGAAGAACATGCTCAAAAAGTTTCATCAAAAAATTCCACCGGGAACCGCCCCAAACAGTAAAGTTCGGACGGTCCCCCCGTCCCTCCGGAGGGACCTGAGCAGTCCTCTATATATATATATATATATAATTATATATATATATATATGTACCATATATATATGTACCATACGTATGCTATGGAATAAGCAAGTGAGTAATTTTTCCTCACACTACGTATAAGGTTTCATACTTTGAATGGCTTTTCTCTTTTATATGTAATCTTTAATTTTAACACCCAGATGCCGGAGTTTTCTTTCACGTGTCACACCCCCTGGGTATTTAAGCAACCTGAAACTCCCCATTCAATGAATAGTTGAAACAAGTCCGAAAAGTAAAATTTTTCTAGACAGCTGTAAGCTTGCGTCATCTTCATCTATTCCAAGATAAATATAACTGAAGTAAGATTAGATTATATAACTGCGAACCCACCAATATTGGCACTGGTAAGATTAGATTATGTAATAAGGGGTCACTTATTGAGCCACACACACTGCAACAATGTTCTTGTGAGAATAATGGAAAAGGTTACTCCCTAAGGAGCCCTAGCAGATATATTTATAGTAAAGAGAGTTTGATGTAAAGTACAATACTAAGCCTCTAATAATTCTATTACACCCCCTCAAGCTGTGCGGGAGATACAACGCGCAGGTTGTCTTTTAAAAAATGAAAACGTTGACTAGAGAGACTTTTAGTAAAAATATCTGCTAGCTGTAGATGAGTAGGAACATGCTTAACAATGAGATCTCCATGAGCAACCCGTTCGCGAACAAAGTGATAGTCAATCTGGATATGTTTACTACGGGCATGCTGAACAGGATTTGCAGTCAAATAAGAAGCAGAGATATTATCACATAATAAATGTACCGGCTCTGTGATCGGCCATCCTAGTTCGAACAGTACCGACCGGATATGCAGTGTGTCCTGTACTGTGTAAGCAATGACACGATATTCTGCTTCTGTGGAGGATTTCGACACAGTAGGCTGCTTCTTAGTCTTCCAAGAAATCAAATTCGGACCCAAGAATACCGCAAAGCCTGTGGTGGACCGAGAACTATCAGGACAACCTGCCCAATCAGCATCAGAATAAGCAACCACACAGGTCGGCCGATTAGACTGCTGAAGCCATAGCCCATGATCACGTGTGCCCTGCAAGTACCTGAAAATTCTTTTGACTGCAAATAGATGAGTGGTACGAGGAGCATGCATGAACTGAGACACTAAGTGTACTGCATAAGTAATATCTGGCCGTGTCAAAGTTAAATATTGTAATGCACCAACCATGCTGCGATACTCAGTGGAATCAGACAATAACTCACCATCAGAAAGAGACAGAGTAGTACGGGAAGCTAACGGGGTGCGAACAGGCTTTACAGTATGGAGATGAAAACGGGCTAGAAGATCAGTAACATATTTATGTTGAGAGAGAAACATACCGTTAGCTGAACGAATAGCCTCAACACCCAGAAAGTAATGAAGATTACCCAAGTCTTTCATAGCAAAGTGATTAGAGATAATTGAAATAAAATGGGTAACAGATGACTCAGAATTGCCAGTAATAATAATATCATCCACATATAATAATAAATAAATAATGGTATTATTCTGGCGGAAAATGAACAAAGAATTGTCAGATTTACTACAGGAAAAGTTATGTTGCAGAAGAAAGCTACTAAATCTATGGAACCAGGCCCGTGGAGCTTGCTTAAGGCCATAAATAGCCTTGCGCAGACGACATATATGATCAGGAAATTGAGGGTGAGTAAAACCACGGGGCTGACGCATATAAACTTCCTCTGTCAGATGACCATGTAAGAAGGCATTTTTAACATCAAGTTGTCGTATAACCCACCCAAAAGAAATAGCTAGAGTAAGTACAATACGAACAGTGGTGGGTTTTACAATAGGACTAAAAGTTTCAGAGAAATCAATACCTGCCTGCTGATTAAAACCCTGTGCAACTAATCGAGCTTTATGGCGCTCTAAGGATCCATCAGAATGATATTTAGTTTTATATATCCACTTACTCCCAACAATATTCTTAGAGCTATCAAATGGCACCAAGTCCCACGTATTATTATTAATGAGTGCATTAAATTCATCAGCCATCGCCTCACGCCATTTTAAATGTTTATTTGCCTCAGTAAAACAAGTAGGATCCGCAGGAGTAATAACCGTACTTAAATTAAAAATTGTTTTAGGCTTAAAAATACCCGACTTAGCACGGGTTTGCATGGGATGCTGATTAACTACCGTAGTGGACATAGGTGGGGTGGGTTCAGACGAGACAGGGTTGACCGAGACTGACTCCGGCATGCTGGACGACGTTTGGTGACGCGAGGAGGGAGGCGATGGTGGCGGACTGGGTGTGGCCGTGGGGGTGGATGTATGAGGGGATGGTACATAAGGAGTGGGAGGAATGAGGTGTGTCCGAGAAGAAGCTGGGGACAGTGAAAGTAGGTCGGCCGTGATTGTGGTAGTGGACGGGACAGGTGGGTCAAGAGTTATATCGGTGAGGTTCATAGGAGACGGTGTAGTCGGAATGGAAGGTGATGGAGCAGATGAGAGGGTTTTAAAAGGATAGGTGTCCTCATGAAACTTAACGTGACGACTAACATAGACGCGACCTGTGAGATGATCAAAACAACGATAGCCCTTATACCCAGATGCATAGCCAAGAAAAACACACTGAACGGAACGAGGTGATAATTTATTAACTGCAGTGGCAGAAAAATTCGGATAGCAGGCAGAACCGAATACTCGCATGAAGGAGTAATCCGGAACACGGTTAAAAAGTTTTTGATACGGAGAAAAACCATTTAAGGTAGGAGAGGGTAATCTATTAATAATATAAGCAGCAGTAAATATGGCATCAACCCAAAAGTGACTCGGAACCGAAGCCTCAAGAAGCATGGTCCGAGTCAACTCAAGTAAATGACGATGCTTGCGTTCAGCCACCCCATTTTGTTGAGGTGTGTCAGGGCAAGATTTTCGAAAATAAATACCATTAGCAGAAAAGAATTGATGCATATTATAATTAACAAATTCACCTCCCCCGTCACTTTGAAAAATTTTAATTTTCTGATTAAAAAGATTTTCAACCAAGGCTTTAAAATTTTTAAAGTGTATAAAAACTTCACTTTTGTGGCACATGGGATAAATCCAAGTATAACGAGAAAAGTCATCAATGAAACACACATAATACTTGAATCCCAAATTTGAATACACAGGTGATTGCCACACATCCGAATGAATAATTTCGAGTGGAAATACAGAATTATGACTAGCATCCATAAAAGGCAAACGTTGTGATTTTCCTAAACGACAAGCCACACACGCATGAGTAAAGGGAGTATGACTACATAAGAATTGTTTTTTCTTAAGAAACTGTAAAATACTATCACCGCAGTGACCTAATCTACGATGCCACACAGGGCCAGAAGCTAAAACAGAAGCAAAAACTAATGGTGAAGAAGCGGGCAGACTGATAGGATAAAGTGGTCCACTACTGGTAGCTCGCAGAAGTACTGCCCCCGTTGCTTTGTCCTTAATCAAAAAAGAATTTTTATCAAAAATTACAGTACAGTTATTATCAGCGCATAGCCTCTTAATTGAAATTAAATTATATTTTAACTGAGGCACATGATAAACAGATTTTAAGGTGAGAGGACGACCAGACGTAGGTAATGCAACATCACCAACATGACAAATGGGAAGATAGGCACCATTGGCAACACTAACAGAATTATATCCGGCGTAAGGAGATTTATTAACTAAAATACCTTCAGATGTAGTCATATGAGCAGAGGCTCCTGAATCAGGAAACCATAAAGCAGGAGTAGTGTCACCGGGAGTAGTCAACAGAGCAGGGGCGGTCGGTTGTGTGAAACGGGAAGGACAATTTATAGCCGAATGACCTGCAGAAAAGCAAATTTGACAGACAACAGGATGGGGAACAGACCCAAGAATACCCCCATCTGATGGCAAGCCTGCAGAACCACGGTTAGTAACACAAACAGGTAAAGCATTAATATTTAAATGTGACACAGCAGAATTACAAATAACAGTACCCGTAGATGTCACACCCCCTGCATGTGAAGCGTATCCAGCTGGACCCGGCTGACCACC